GTGATACGTCGCTGGTATTTGATAGTTCTGAAGATATATGGTTATCAATTTTTGTTACCTGTTTTCAATTACCCAAGTCTCGACTCAGTCCTTTATTAATTATGCCAATTTGTTTCAGTTTCATTAATAAGGTTTCTCTATCTTTTGTTTCAAAAGCCCTCTGCAAATCCAGAAACACTGCCCCTATCGCATAGTTTTCATTTAAAAGATCTTTCCACTCATAAAGTATATTTTGAATGGCGGATTCGTAACTGTGGTTTTTTCTAAACCCTGATTAATTTACAGTTAAGATGTCATTTGCTGAGATAAATTGCATAAGTTGCTTAAGTATATACCTACTATTTCTTCCAATATCTTTTCACTCCTCAGGACTAATTGCACCTTCTACCTTTTGAAGCGGTATCACTGTTGGTATTTTTCGAGATATTTTTAATAAAGAGGGTACCTGTCCAAGTTCCAGTGACGTATTTATTAGGTTTGAGAGTGGCTTTTCAGTATTAATGTGGGTATTCTTTAGAAACTCTGACATATCTTCTGAGCTTCCCTTGTTAGGCAATGAAAATACCGTTTCTCTTAGGTCATTATAATCAATTAGATCCAACGTATCTTTATAATTTTGTTCTATAGAGTCACTTGCACTCTGATTCGACTCACCCACTAAGTTATGTTTGTGAATTTTCTTTTTTATATCGTTAATACTCTCAACATAATATAAGTTTAGATTATCCGCAATTTCTTTTGTATCAACCAAAACAGTTTCATTATCTTTGAGCTTACTTATATTATTTTTCTTTTTTCCAGAAATTAATTGGCTGAGTGTATTTGTTTTGGATTATTTTTTGCTAGATCGATTTTATTTCGATAATACTTTTTCCTTTCTACCCTAATGACTGTTACTACTGTATTTCTAATTTTTTTTATAATTAAGCCTATTATCTAGATTTTCATTTGCCTTTAACTTTTTGTAACTATTATCCCTGTTCTCATTTGCTTTTTCAATTCTTTCATTATACCATTCTTTAAATTTTGGCTTTATTACTTTTTCAACAAGTGGAGCAACTTCATCTAAAATTCCCTTCATATGATTGTAAAACAAAAAATGTTTAATATCAATATCAGTAGGTACATCAATAATCCCATACATTATTAGATAATTTATTATTAATTACATTATAATCTAGCCTAACACGTGTTTGAATAGTTAAAGATTCCTGGTTAAAGCCAATTGATTGTCCTATGTTTGTACTTACAATGAAATGATCGTTTGTTCAGGGAGTTTCAATAACCTTAAACTGCAAAATATAGCTTCTGTTTGTTAAGACCAAATCAATAATGCTTGCATTATTGTCATTTTTTTTAGGATGTCTCACCGTCCCCACCACCTGATATAAGCCTGCATCGCTTACAATTTTTTTAAGTTTATTCGGATATGTAGAACTTGTCAACCAGTTAATATTAAAGTCTCCCATTATTAGGTATTATATTACAGTTCGTGTCTATTAACTCCACACACTATTGCTTGAAAAAATTCGAAAAATCCGAGGGGAATAATACATATTTCCTAAAACATAAATCCTATTTTTAAATGAAATTTTCACTACCAAAAACCAGTAATTTCTTTGAAACCGTTACTCTTTTGTTTCCAAAATATTATTGTTTTCCCTTAACTGCACCTCTAGTGTGGCGACTTTCACTATCAACCCCTCGATCAACCCTAACGACATGACAACCCAAAATATCAATCTGAAATTTTCAATGGGTAATCTTGTCTCTGTTAAACATACAATAAGCGGCTTCGTTCTTAACACAAAATGATCGTTTTCTCCAAATTTGAAGACAAGACTTTGGGCATTAATTAAAATAATTGAGTCATAAAAAAGCATTGTCCCTAATATTTTAATATTATAATAATAATGGGAAAATTTATAATTTATAATAATAATGCCAAAAGTTGAACTAAAAAAGTGTTTAGTGTCACTACACTCGCAACCTCTCTGTGACAGGGGATGTAGGGTGGATAGATGGAGAGAAACTCGCTCAGGTTATTAAAATATGTACATTGCTATGAAGTCGTTACATGAATCCTCCAGGATGCATGCTCTTCCGTGGATAGGGCCACACGTTTGACACTACTTAGGAATGTCAGTTTAATGCCAATATTATGTAGAATGTTAATCGTCGTTTATCTGATCCTCATCTAGAGGGGCTTTCTCAGGGTGGCGGTACTAGCACTAGATGACGATACAGTTTCCCATAGGGGCTTTCCCAGGATGGCGGTACTTACACTGGGGAGACTTGATTCCAGAGGGGTGTTCCCATCAGGGTGGCGGTACTAACACTGGTTCAAGTCTGTCTGTTGCTTGCCTTGGCCCACTATTTATATGAATTTATTGCTGAATTGCAATAAATATCCAATTTAATCGGCAATTAAATTAATAAGCTTGAATACCAGGCCCTCCTTTCCTAAGTAGCTGATTGACAATATAACTTTGTTTTTTGAACATTTGTTGAGCTAGAGGTGGTCAGAAAGCTTGTTTGACCCTCTCAGATTGGGAAATTTTGAAAATCTTATTCGCAGCTCTAGTAGAATTAAAATTCAAACAAAAAGGGCATACAAATTCTATTCTCAGCGCACTTAATGCCAAAAATTGAACTAGAAAAGTGTATATAACTATGATTTTTACCATTGAAGAGATAAAGTTGGGCTAGAGGTGGTCGGGAAGCCTATTTGACTTTTTCAGGTTGGGAAATTGTAAAAATCTCATCCCCACCTCTGCTAGAGCTAAAATTCAAACATGAAAAGCATGAAAATTCGATTGTCGGCGCTCCTAATGCCAAAATCAAACCAGAAAAGTGTATATAACTTTGATTTCTGACCATTTGTTGAGCTAGCGTTGGTTAGAAAGCTTGTTTGACCCTCTCAGATTGAGAAATTGTTAAAATCTCATACCCAGCTCTATTAGAACTAAAATTCAAACAAGAAAAGCAAAAATTGAATTAGAAAAATGTATATAACTTTGATTTTTGACCATTTCAAGAGGTGAAGTTGGGCTAGAGCTGGTCAAAGAGTAAAGTAAAGATCCTCTCAGAGCTAAAATCCAATTCAAACATTGTGAAATTCCTTTTCCCAGCTTTATTAGAGCTGAAATTCTTGTTTGCCCCTTCCAGCAGAGCTAAAATCTAACTGAAACATTGTGAAATTCTCGAGGAAGTTTTCAAAGAGCGGCCCACAAAATCGCTCTATGTAGGTACATTTTCATCCGAATTCCCGTCAAATTCGAAATCCCGTCTAATTCGAAATCCCATCTGAAATTTTTCTGAAATTCCAATAAATTTATCGAAATCCTTAGTACCTATATACAGGGTGAGGGACGAAAAACTTCCCACCCAGGTTTTCTCCAGTGTTAGATGTTTAATCAAAAATCGCTCGGACACGTCAATTTTTGTTTTTTGGGGGACACATTATTGTAGTATTTTTGCCCTCTATCTGTCAACCCCTGAGCGGGGGTGACAGATACCCCCAAAATTTTAATAGGAAAGGGGGATCGAGTGATACGTCATTTGGTAGATATTTTCATTGAGATTATATCCCCCAAGTTTTAAGTTGCTACCATTTACCCTACCGAAATGGTGGCTTGTCAAAGTTAGGAAATAGTTATTTTCGTAACAAGTGCGCAAAGTGATACTTTCCCGCACGAAAAAGCAGTTAGACGAACGACGCGAAGCGGAGTTCGGATAAGCTTTGAGTGCGGGAAAGACACTTTGCGCAAGTGTTAGGAACAATATTTTTTCCACGAGTATCTTAAAAAAGTAGACTTTGAATTATTACAATATTAGAAAAATCAATCAAATCAAAATCTTCAAAAATCGTTTAAAATCTATTGGAATTCCTTAGAATGTCTTTTAAATAAAATTCCCAAAAATCTTTTAACATCTTCTGGAATTTCTAGAATACCAGCTAAAATATTTTCATGAGAGTCTCTCAAATATCAAAAATTGTACAAATTCCTAGCAGTACAGGCTGGTCCAATTTGGACACCTTTGATGGGAAACATCATGTTAACTAAGCGCTAATTTCAACTAAAACCCTTCATTATGACTATTAGTTTATTCAGAAACCATCAAAACATTGAAAAATTAAGTATAACTATGGTAATTATGCGTAACAAAAATGAGTGCGCAAAGAGTTTCCGTGCGCAAAGTTCAACTTTGCGCACGCAAATGAGTGCGCAAAGTGATTACTTTGCGCACGCAAGTAGAAAAAATGCTTTTTTCCGAGTATCTGAAAAAAACACTGTGAAAATCCATGAACTCAGAAAAAATGAGAATTAAGACAAGAAAATGAGAAAAATTAGAGATGTATTGAAAAAAACTCTTGAAGCTGCACCGAAACTGTCAACTCGGGATTTGTAGATAATTTAATTGGCCTCAATTTGAGCCAAATTATGTTACGATCGGATCGAAATTAAAAAAGTTATGAGGCGAAATGTGTATCGTCATTTTAGAAAAAATTAAATTTCCAAAAAAACAATATTAAGGGGCGTTTTGTTTTTTCTTTGGACAGATTTTTTTTTACAGATAACGTCTTTAGTGTTCAGTGTTTAAGATAGGGTAGAGATAATGAGTTTAGGACTTGCAAATAAAACTGCCTTTCAAAAATATGCCGACGTTTCGAACATATATTTGGTCTTCTTCACAGGCTATTTTTACCAGCAAGGGCGTAGAAAGCATTCCAAAACACAAAGGGACATTCTAGGTTTGTTTGCACAGAAATCACAAAACAGCCAGAGTGAAGTGTATTGGTTGAAACAAATTTTCTGACTGTTTCTGACTCTTATCAACCAAAGAAATTCGCTATGACTGGTTTGTGATTTCTGTGCAAACAGACCTTTTAACACTACATATCTTTGGTTGGGAATTTCTATTATTTATCCATAGCCAAAATGGTACTTCCATTCAGACACTCGGTCCTACAAAGATTTTTTCTTTTTTTGTTCCAGATCCCAAACATGCCCAATGTACATGAATTATTACCACTATATCGAATACAGCTTCATAATAATATTGACCATAAATGTACTATCATATTTTGTAAGATTCCTAAAACACTATTGCTCAACCACCAATGAAAATGATGTAACTTTGGCGCAAAGAATAGGAAACCAAAATCCTGTCACAAAGTGCACTCCAACTCCAATGAGCCCTGGTAACAAAACGCCTACAAGATTATCATCCTATCTGCTAAATTCACCTTTAAATATGAGTAGGAATCAGACACCTGGACAAATTACACCTCTTAATATGAGTGCGGTTAGTTGGAGATCTAATGTGACGCCAAATGAGAGTAAGAATTTTTGTAACAATAACCAATTTCACATTCTTCACCAAAACCGATTTTTCAGGTATGGCAGTAAATTATTCTACTGAATCTTCACCTTGGGGCTACCAAAATGCTCCAATTAAATCCCGTAATAATACGCCCGCTTCATCTCGCAAATACGTACCTGAAGTGGAAAAATTTGATGATGAAGAGGATGATCTTGATCTGATAAATGATTATGAAACCACCGAAGAAGTATGCACATATATTTTCAATAATATTCGAGCCTTCATCTAAAACTTTATTTTTAGATAAACAAAACACCAAATCGATTTAACTTGTCAAATAACATTTTGAGTTCTTTTTGGACTCATCCCATGACTAAAGATCCTAAAGATTATGCGGCATATGTGAAGAAGGGTGAATATCAGTTGTCATCACCATCTCCAAGTAAGTATAGTATTTTCATTCATCAAATTTGCAATTTTTAATACTAGAACAAGATATTTTTTTAGAATGAATTTATGTATACTTTCACTTACAGGTGCAAGTTCGCCCTCTAAATCGGACGATAAATCTTCAGAAGCATGGACGAGAATCAACGTCAATACTGTAGCCTTAACCCATTGGAATGAAAATTTAAGAATGGTAAGTGATGTTTAAATCATAACTTTTTTGATTGTAATGATTAACTTTCCAGTGGATTTCCCAAACTATTCTACAACGCCTTGTCAAAGAATTTGATGTCATTGATGCCGAATTAGTAAATCATAACATGATAGATGTGAAAATTGGAGCTGTGGGACTTGATAGGTTAAGAAAAACAGCCTCAATGGTATTTTTTTCCAATTTTATATTGTATTATGACTTAAATATATATATTTTTTTCAGACTCAAATACTGCACTTTATACCATCTCTATTGACAGTAATCCCGTTTCTGGAACTGCACCCCAATCAAGAATATTTAGTAATGAGAATCAGAGATTTAGCCAAAGGGGGATGTATGAGTGACTTTAGATGGAACAGAGGTGGAAGTTTTAATGGTAAACAATGGGACGATACTTTGCCTGCCGATTGTAATGTAAGTAAACTGGCAGATATAAGAGAATCAGTGTATCTTGCTTTTGATCTAAGATTAATATCTTCTTTGTACTGAGTCGTTACATCACAATGTTACAAATTATATAATAATGATAAGAAAAAGATATTGATGACTTCTTACTCTTTGTAAAGTCTATTGGTCTGCAGACTGCAAGAACTCCATAAACTGGTGAATTGGTGTTATATTTTTCTTTTCTCTCTTTTTCCAGATCGTCATGCATTTATTAGCTACTTATCTGGACACTCAACTACTGCCCTCACCTAATATGCCTGACAAAAAGGCTTTCAGCGGACGTTACTATATCAGAACAATAGATAGAGTTCCCGAATTGAGTTCCAATACTATATTCATACAGGAAGTTATACAGAAACCACCTCATTACAGGGTGATTGTTGGTGACAAGACTTATGAGATGGTTAAGGTAAGAATTATAGTTAGTATTAGCCCAAATAACTTAAATCCCAATATTCTGCAGCTAAATCAAAGTAACTAATAATAAATGAAAACGTTTTTTTATTCATACTAAAAATTTTAAAGCAAAATTAATGAATAATAATTGAAGATGAACCAACTAAACCTAATAATCATCTCCACGAGACACAACTTCTTTGCACGTAGGTCGAAGCATGATAGTGTGTTCAAATTGCGCTGTGTAACAACCCTTGATGTCACAAAGTGGAGGATAATCGTCCACAATGCCCTTATCGCAAAGATCCTTCAACGCCATTTGATATTTGGTTGCACCAGCGCGGTCGAGCCATCTCTTGCAGAAAGCTAAAGTTCCAAAATTCCTGTTGATCAAGCTGAGGAGGCATTTTGACGATTGCAAGCGTAATGGCACATATTGAGCATCATAGTTTTTCATGTAATGGGAACATTCCATGTCGTTATTAACAACACCTCTGCCAGTCGAACCAAAAGTTTCTATGGCATAAAATTCGTTTTCTTCCATTATTCTAGCCTCGCCACCTCTGACAATTGGTACAGTTTTTCCTGCATGTATTCTGTAAGGAGAGATGGAATGGCCATTAAGGTTCCTTATAGGTTTCACTTGATATGTTTTACCATCTAATTCCATTTCGTACGATTCCATAACTTCCTGAATTTGGGCTCCTATATCGCATAAGCGAACGTCAATGCCGGCAGCTCTAATTCCAGTATTGGTAGCATCCCTGACCGCCTCCAAAAGTTTATCATACTTGGGATTAAATGTGTGGGTAAATGCACAGTCAATTATTCTTCCATTAATATGCGTTCCAAAGTCGATTTTAACAACATCATCGTATTCAAAAACGGTTTTATCGCCAGCGTTAGGAGTATAGTGAGCGGCACAATGATTTCTAGAACAACCAGTTGGAAAAGCCAATCCAGCTTTAAGACCGTCGTCGCCGATTAGTTTGCGGGCAGTATTTTCCAACTCTTCACAAATTTCAATCATCGTCATACCGGGCTTTAGCCATTTCTGGATATGTAGCCGCGTTTGCCTATGAGCTTCAGCAGCCAATCGTACCTCATTGTAAATATCATTATGCATTCTGTCTAAAGCTTTTTTTTCTTCTGATGTTGAGCGATTTTTGGCAGTACGATCATCATTAATATATTCCTGAATTTCTCCAATTGGAAACACCTTATCAGGAAACAGTTCAACTATCGGTACAGTGGGTGGATAGGTTTGGTTTATCTTTCCGCCTCCTCTCTTTTTGTTGCGCTTTTTTATTTTATGTTCACCTTCAGCAGTAGCTTGAGTTTTTGTGTCGCCGATTTCTTGGGTAAATGGTTTTTCGTTTTGGGCTGGAACGTCACCTTCTTGGACACCTGCAATAAAAAAATAAACACGAATATAGACTTTAATAAACTTAGGAAAATGGACTACAGATTAACAAGACAAAATAAATTTAAAAATGACGTATCATAATATGTTATGGACATATCATGTGGTGGCTTTGGCTTGCATGAGAGCTCCTTAAGACCTTTAAATTTGGTTCAAAATTACATACTAAAAATAATGTTTAAAAAGAAGAGACGATTTCCTTCCAAACTCTTATACTCAAAAGATATCCTAAATGTTTGTTCTCTATATGTGTTGGATTTAGGTTCTTACAAGGGTAAACCGCCATCCCAGAATTTGTGCAAACAATTCCTCAAAGGGGAATACGCCTAATTCCTCAAAATTCCTGCAAAATCTCTACAAATTCCTCCAGATACCCCATCACAAATTCCTCCAAATACCCCACCAAAAATTTCTCCAAATACCCCACAAATTCCTGCAAATTCCTCCGAATTTCCGCAAATTCCTCCAAACTTCTCTCAAATTTCCCACAAATGTCTCTTACAAATTCCCTGAAAATCCCCACAATTGCTCGCGATAAATTTATTTTTTAGATTTTTATTTCGCTTAGTTAAAATACAAGAGCAGTTTATCAAGTAGGATCAAATGCAAGGTTACGTTAGCTGACATTAGAGCTAAAACTTATGATTGGTTTTCAGTAATGCAGAATGCAGGGGTTTGAACTAACCTGAAAGGAAAAATTTGAAACTTTTTGTATGCATAGAGAAAGGTTAGAGGCTCATTTTTCCGAAATTTCAATTTTTTCCAGTGGAAAATAGTAAGATGAAGAATCTTGGAAATCAACATACAAAAACTGAAATAATTGGAAACACATTCTCACACAATTCAAAGTTTCCTTGGAAAACTAGTGAAGGGAAAATTTTGGAACTTTTTGCATGTAAAGAGGAAGGGGAGAAGCTCTCTAATTAAAAATACAGTCTCACACATCTCAAAGTTTTCCTGGAAAAATAGAAAAGGAAAATTTTTTTTGCATGTAAAGAAAAAGATGAGAAGCTCATTTTCCGAAAATTTCAAATTTTTCCAGTGGAAAACAGCAACATGAAAAATCTTGGAAATCACCCTACAAAAACTGAATACAGTCTCACATATTTTAAAGTTTTCTTGGAAAACTAGTGAAGAAATTTTGAAACTTTTTGCACATAAAGAGGAAAATGAGAATCTCATTGCCTCAAAATTTCAAATTTTTTCAGTGAAAAATAACATGACAAATCTTGGAAATCAACTTACAAAAACTGGGTTAATTGAAAATACAGTCTCATACATTTCAAAGTTTTCCTGGAAAACCAGTGAAAGGAGAAATTCAAAACGTTTGCATGTAAAGAGAAAGATTAGAAGCTCATTTTCCCAGAATTCCAATTTTTTTCCAGTAGAAAATTACAACATGAGGAATCTTGGAAATCAACCTACAATAACTGAATTAATTGAAAATACAGTCTCACATATTTCAAAGTTTTCCTGGAAAACTAGTGAAGGGAAAATTTTGAAACTTTTTGCATATAAAGAGGAAGATGAGAAGCTCATTTTCCCAAAATTTCAATTTTTTCCAGTGGAAAATAACAACATGAAAAATCTTGGAATTCAACTTACAAAAACTGAGTTAATTGAAAATACAGTCTCATACATTTCAAAGTTTTCCTGGAAAACCAGTGAAAGGAGAAATTCAAAACTTTTGCATGTAAAGAGAAAGATTAGAAGCTCATCTTCCCAGAATTTCAAATTTTTCCAGTAGAAAATTACAACATGAGGAATATTGGAAATTCACCTACAATAACTGAATCAATTGAAAATACAGTCTCACGTATTTCAATGTTTTCCTGGAAAACTAGTGAAGGGAAAATTTGGAAACTTTTTGCATGTAAAGAGGAAGGTGAGAAGCTCGTTTTCCCAAAATATCGAATTTTTCAAGTGGAAAACAGCAGCATGAAAAATCTTGGAAATCAACATACAAAAACTGAAATAATTGGAAACACATTCTCACACAATTGAAAGTTTCCTTGGAAAACTAGTGAAGGGAAAATTTTGGAACTTTTTGCATGTAAAGGGGAAGGGGAGAAGCTCTCTAATTAAAAATACAGTCTTACTACTAGTACATTTTTCCAGTGGAAAATAACAAAATGAAAAATCTTGGAAATCAACTTACAAAAAGTGAATTAATTGAAAATACAGTCCACACATTTCAAAGTTTTTCTGGAAAACCAGTGTAGAAAGAAATTTAAAACTTTTTGCATATAAAGTGGAAGGTAAGAAGCTCATTTTCCCAGAATTTCAATTTTTTCCAGTAGAAAATTACAAGATGAGGAATCTTGGAAATCAACCTACAATAACTGAATTAATTGAAAATATACTCTCACATCTTTCAAAAAACTAGTGAAGGGAAAATTTTGAAACTTTTTGCATGTAAAGAAGAAGGTGAGAAGCTCATTTTCCCAAAAATTTCAAGTTTTTCCAGTGGAAAATAACAACATGAAAAATCTTGGAAATCAACTTACAAACACTGAATTTATTGAAAATACAGTCTCACACATTTCAAAGTTTTCCTGGAAAACCAGTTAAGGGAGAAATTCAAAACTTTTTGCATGTAAAGAGAAATATTAGAAGCTCATTTTCCCAGAATTTCAAATTTTTCCATTAGAAAATTACAACAAGAGGAATATTGAAAATTCACCTACAATAACTGAATCAATTGAAAATACAGACTCACACATTTCAAAGTTTTCCTGGAAAAACTAGTGAAGGGAAAATTTTGAAACTTTTTGCATCTACAGGGTCCTTATTCTTGAAACAGGGGAGCAGCGTTCCCAGGAAAACGAGTGTTCCGTCTTTCTCAATGATATGCAAATTATAATATATGTAACAAAGACGGAACACTCGTTCTTCTGGGAACGCTGCTCCCTTGTTTCAGGAATAAGGACCCTGAGGAAGGTGAGAAGCTTCCAGTGGAAAATAACAACATGAAAAATCTTGTAAATCAACTTACAAAAACTGAATTAATTGAAAATACAGTCTCACACATTTCAAAGTTTTCCTGGGAAACCAGTGTAGGGAGAAATTTAAAATAGTTTGCATGTAAAGGGGAAGGTTGGAAGCTCATTTTCCCAGAATTTCAAATTTTTTTAGTAGAAAATTACAACATGAGGAATCTTGGAAACCAACCTACAATAACTGCATTAATTGAAAATACAGGGTGTCCCACGGTGGATGGCGTATTAGACGTTAATGGAAAACTAAAATGCGGATCATTTTGAATATTTGGCAACCGGGATAAACGACCATAATCTACACTTTAAAAATATTTTTGTTTATGCGGTGTTGCCGCTTCTACTCTAAACTAGTGGCAACATCGCTATTTTAAATGGAACACCCTGTATGTGATTGCATATTTGGATTCTACCTTAAATTCTGAGTAGATCATGGTCGTTTATCCCGGTTGCCAAATTTCCAAAATGATCCGCTTTTTAGTTCTCCATAAACATCTAATAGGCTATCCACCGTGGGACACCCTGTATAGTCTCACATATTTCAAAGTTTTCCTGAAAAACTAGTGAAGGGAAAATTTTGAAACGTTTCGCATGTAAAGAGGAAGGTCAGAGGAAGAATCTCAAAATTTCAAATTTTTCCAGTGGAAAAAATAACATGAAAAATCTTGGAAATCAGCCTACAAAAACTGTATTCATTATTCTTTTAAATTTTTTAAATTTGGACATATAAATCATGAAGTGAAATTTCGGGAGAATTTCTTTGATAAAAATGAATGTCCAACGTCCAACACAAAACTAGATTTTTTTAAAAATGTCCACTTTATTTCTGATAATAAGAATGTGAACCGCAGTGACGTCACGTCCCTACAATTTCCTTTAAATTCCGCACAAACTCTTCCAAATTCCCCATAAATTTCTCCAAACTCCCTATAAATTCCCCAAATTCTCATTAACTCCGATGAGTTCCATCAAATTTCCCACCAATTGCTCTAAGTTCCCCACATTTTTGGCAAAGACTTCCTAGGTGGTTTGTCCCTTGGGTTCTTATATTCATAGAAAAACGAACTTGAAATAAGACTAACAAACACCTTGTAATTCCCAATAGTATTAGGAGCTTAAATTTAGGATGTTTTGGGCTTTGGCTATCTGGCTCCTAAGATATATAACACAGTGCCCATTGAAACTGGAATTATTTCCACCAGAAAAGTGTTTAGAACAGAATGTAGAAAATTTTCTTAATATTTTGCATTTTCAATGAATAGGTGGATATGATTTCTAAAATATGTGATGTTTATTCTATTCGATTCCAGGTATAGCTGGGTGGAATATTTATGTGTTCATAAACAGAACATACTGCAAAATCAATAAAAATATATCCTTTTCCCATATTTTTTGGAAATTTAATGGATCCAGTTCAATAATTTCTTTCTCATTGCCTACCTACAATTTTTATTTCTGGGTTTCTCAATTTATTTACCCCTACGGGCCCTACCTTGTTTTGTAATAATTGCTATTTTCAAGATTCTCCAAGAACTCCAAAAATGTTGCAAAAGAAACATGGTCAATTGTTAATGACTTGAGGAATAAGGCTTCTTCATCTAGCAAAATTCCTACTTCACCTGAGATCCTTAACGATTACTTTGTTGATGTGGCTAAGAATTTAGTGAATACCTTAACTCCTTCCCAGGACCCACTTTCATATCTCCCGAATGCTAAGGTGAACTTACACAGTTTCTTCTTCACGGCTGTAGTAGTTCCAGAGCTTCGCAGTACAATCAAAGATATTAAAAACAACTCTTCATCTGGGACTGATGGACTCACCCTCAAAATGTTCTCTAATCTTCCTGATTGCACATTAAAACATCTTACTACTCTGATCAACAAGTCGTTTCTAAATGGAGCTTTTCCAAACTGTCTTAAGATGGCGATAATTATCCCACTGCATAAGGGAGGTGATAAGGAGCTACCTTCAAACTATCGCCCCATTGCACTCCTTCCTACGCTATCAAAGATCATAGAAAGATTGGTTAAAAAGAGGCTTCTATCATTTCTCTCTAAATATAATATTCTAACTACCAGTCAATTCGGTTTCCTAAGTAACAAATGTACTAATGATGCGATGTTTTCCCTTTTCAATAATGTATACTCCAGCCTGAACTGCCACCACTCTACAGCCTCAATTTTCTGTGATTTCTCCAAAGCTTTCGACTGTGTTAATCATAATATCTTAATTAACAAATTACAGTTCTACGGTTTCAGAGGAATGGCTCTCGAATGGTGTCAGCTTGTGAGGGTGGACTCGACCATGTCCTCTTGTAAACCAATTGAATGTGGTGTGCCTCAGGGTTCAGTTCTTGGCCCTATTTTGTTCCTGCTATTTATTAACGACATTGCTAGTCTGGATATTAGCGGCAAAGTTTGTCTCTTCGCAGACGATACTAGTTTCACTTGGAGCAACCCGGATATTACGGAACTCCATAGAACCGTATCTAGTGACTTAATCACCATCAAATCATGGTGTGACTCAAATCTCCTGTGCCTCAACCTCTCTAAAACCAAAGTTTTATCTTACAGAGCTTCGCTCCAATCTGTAGTACTGGATAACAATACCATGGAGGCCGTTGATTCCGTGAAATTCCTGGGGCTTGTTGTTGATAAATCTCTAAAGTGGGACCTGCATATCGACGCCTTAGCAAAGAAATTAAGTTCGGCCTGTTTTGCACTGAGATCTGTTTCCAGGGAGCTTAACTCGGCAACTTGCAGGATGGTATATTATGCTCTTTTTGAGTCGCATTTACGTTACGCCCTTCCAATCTGGGGCACGTGTTGTGCGTCTCAATTTGAACGCATTTTTAGACTGCAGAAGAGAGCTCTTCGTTATTCTTTGGGACTTGGTAGTAGAACTCACTGCCGGGAATTTTTTATCAAGTCTAGTATATTGACTCTTCCATCTTTATTTATTTTCGAATCCGTCTGCTTAATTCGTAATCACTTAATATCAGCTATCTCAGAGAGGCCATCTCACAATTATCCACTGAGGAACGCAGAGTTGGATCTTTATCTGCCAATCCCGCGCTCAGAGTTAGTTAAAAGTTCAATACTTTATAATGCTAAAAAGATGCATAATCATCTACCGCCTAACATCAGGTCCATTGCATCTTTTCTCCAATTTCGCAGGGCGTTGAAGGTGTATTTACTGGGGAGAGCCTTGTACACAGTAAGCGAGTTGTTTATGGTTTCCTAATTCTAAATTTTGAGCAGCTTACTCACAGGTTTTGTTTTTGTTCCTGTATCATGATAGGTTATTATAAGTTATTGTTTGTTTGTTTTTTTAGTACCTATAATATGCTTACTCGCACAGTATAAGCAGTTAGACCTAGATGTTTGTTTATTAGTTTTAATCAAATTTTGACCATGAACTATTTGTTCAAGTGTTTGGTTTTGTCTGTGCTTTTGCATTTGTATGTTTTGTTGTTTATTTTTTCAGCTTTGTCCACAAAATTGTAAAATTTTCTGACAATAAAGCAAATTCTTTCTTTCTTTCTTTCTTTCTTTCTATCACTTCTACTATTTCTTCTATTTCTCCGTCCTTATTACACACCTAGGTAAATATGCAGTATAGCCCGGTCACCAAAAATGGTATTTTTTTTTAAAAGGAATCGTTCGTTTACCGTTCAAATAGTGCATTTTCAAGAAAATTTTCCAACGGAAATCTTTAATTTAAATTATACTGAAAATACTGTTTTTTTTGTAACCGACCTATACTGCACTTTATCCCCTAAATAAATATGCAGTATAGCCCGGTCACCTGAAATAGTAGTTTTTTGAATAAGAATCGTTTGTTTAACGTTCAAATAAAGCATTTTGAAGTGAATGTTTCAGCGGAAATCTTCAATTGAAAAGTTACAAATGAAAATTGTACTGAAAATACTGTTTATTTGCAACCGAGCTATAATGCACTTTTTCCCCTAAATAAATATGCAGTATAGCCCGGTCACCTAAAGAGTTTTTTTTATTTAATTAAGAAAATGCAGATTAACCCAAACTAACCCTTACTAACCCGTCCGTATAGGGCTAGTCTTGGTGCTAGTAGTCTGCATAAGTGAAATACTGTTTATTTTGTAACCAACCTATACTGCTCTTCACCCCCTAAATAAATTTGTAGTAGATATAGCCCGGTCACCAAAAATTTTTTTTTTTAATTCAAAATCGTTTATTTAACATTGAAATAGTGAATTTTGAATAAAATTTTCTAGAGGAAATTTTTAATTGGAAAATTACACTGACAATACAGTATTATTTGTAATCGAGCTATACCTACTGCACTTTTTCCCCTAAGTTATTATGCAGGATAGCCCGGTCAATCAAAATCAAAAAAATTTGTAAACTTTGCTTTAACGTTTAACTAAGACATCGTGATAAAACATACTCGGCGGATAACTTATCAATTTTGTCATTGATTCACTATTTGGATGTTACACAAATGATTTTCATTGGGAAAAAAGTTATAGGTGACCGAGTTATACTGCATATTTATTTAGGGAGAAAGTGCAGTATAGGTCGGTTACAAATAAACAGTATTTTACTTATGCGGACTAGCCAGCACTATACGGACCGGTTAGTAAGAGTTAGTTTGACTTAATCTGCATTTTCTTGATTAAATAAAAAACTCTTTTGGTGTCCGGGTTATTACTGCATATTTATTTAGGGGAAAAAGTGCATTATAGCTCGGTTACAAATAAATAGTATTTTAATTTGTAATTTTTCAATTAAAGATTTTCAGATTTCCGGTGAAAAATTTTCTTTGAAATGCACTATTTGGATGTTTAACAAACAAATTTTAATTTAAAAAAAAATACATTTTAGGTGACCGGGCTATGCTGCATATTTATTTAGGGGATAAAGTGCAGTATAGCCCGGTCACCTAAAATAGTATTTTTTTTGAGTATTTTGAAATTTTCAGTATAATTTTAATTTGTAATTTTTAAATTAAAGATTTCCGCTGGAAAATTTCCTTCAAAATGCGCTATTTGAACGTTAAACAAACAATTCTTATTCAAAAAAATACCATTTTAGGTGACCGGGCTATACTGCATATTTATTTAGTGGATAATGTGCAGTATAGCCCGGTCACCTAGAATAGTATTTTTTGAGTATTTTCAATATAATTTTAATTTGTAATCTTTAAATTAAAGATTTCCGCTGGAAAATTTTCTTCAAAATGCACTATTTGAATGTTAAACAAACGATTCTTATTCAAAAAAATACTATTTTAAGTGACCGGGCTATACTGCACTTTTACCCACACCTAATATTGTAATATAAAAGGAAGAATAATTTTGTAAGACATTACCTTCTTTTTGTGCAGCAGGCTTTTTTTTCTTTTTTTTCTGCTTATTCTTATTGGCTGCTCCTGGACCGTTATTCATATCTTCAATTTTGTTGTCATCAAGATCCTCATGTGATTTTTGATCATTTTTGGTTTTATTTTCAATTGTAGCCATTGTTTTCGAGCAAACTACCTTATATAAGTACAATAACGATTGCAACTTGCAGGCACGGATTTCGTAAATAAAAATGTTGACGAACCTAAAAATAACTCTGCTGGCGCTGTCATGTTGGGTGGCAATTTGTCAACATATTCACGTCATACATGTCAAAACAGAAATCTGTAGGTGACTCGGGTATGAAACATGAAATTTTATAGTCCAGGAGGTGGCGCCAAAAACATGCAAGAGTTTTCGCAAGGCCGATATTTTCAAAATAGGTCGTACTTTAGTGCTAGAATGCTAGTGTACAGTCAGCACTCACAGTTCCGGGACAGCTGGCTCTGGGACGCGGGCAAAGTTGTAATTTTAAGAAGCATCTAAACTGTTTTCTCAAAGCTCAAAATTTATAGAAATTTTGCACATTATCTGTTTGAAGGTCACAGATAACGTATGTAAATCGTCAGACGTCTAGTTCGTTGCAAAAAGGGGGTCAGACGTCCTCAAAGTTCTTATTTTATGGCATTTTCTTCGGTGTCCTGTCAAAATATATTTTTGCAGGTATTTGACAAATATATTTGAAGAAAATGCCATAAAATAAGAACTTTGAGGACGTCTGATCCCCATTTTGCAACGAACTAGATGTCTGACGATTTACATACGTTATCTGTGACCTTCAAACAGATAATGTGCAAAATTTCTATAAATTTTGAGCTTTGAGAAAACAGTTTAGATGCTTCTTAAAATTACAACTTTGTCCGCGTCCCAGAGCCAGCTGTCCCGGAACTGTGAGCGCTGACTGTACACTAGCATTCTAGCACTAAAGTACGACCTATTTTGAAAATATCCGCCTTGCGAAAACTCTTGCATGTTTTTGACGCCAGCTCCCCAACTATTACGTCGAATTTTATCTACTGGAACTGGAAATGCGGGTAATTTGAATGGTATGTTATATGGCCAAGTGGTACACGGTACACATACATAATAAGAATAAAATTGTCATGTTTGGTGTATGATAAAGCTTGCCTCGCATTTTAATTTTGTATTACTTTTATATGCACACGACTGACATCATGTTAAATTAATCTTTGAAGAGTAGATTTCATATTAATAAATTAGCAGGCATTTTAGTCTAATTGCTAATACCAATCTTCCCTTGAAACTTTGACTTGGGGTTTTATTTTTTCGATGTAAAATAAAATGATTTGTTATCTTATGTCTCAAAATTCTTTCTAATAAAATTTTCAAATTTTTGTTTTCCTGTAAAATGTACGCTGACATAATTTATAATTAATTTTTTTTTGAACATGGTATGTGTCCAATTTTGAAATATGACTATAATACTTACATAATAATTTGAATTGGGAAATATCTAAATTTTCTGTTTCATTTCCAGGGATACAACAACCTATTCCACAGCATCTTATTCTTCATCTACCAAGTGAACAAATTGGAACAAGGCATGTTAGGCAGAGTCAATTTGGGAAGAGCTGGTCTCAACATGTTGTGGATCATCGGATTAAATGAATGAAAATGTTTTGTCATGTTTTTTCTAGTTTTTTTAAGTTTCATCTATTTTGTCAAACTTTATTGTTCATCAATTCCATCTATTTGACTGATAAATATTAGAATGGAAAATGGTCTGCGAATTTTAGTATAATAGGTAGGTATTAGGAATAGTTTTTAGTGAAGGTCTTTGTTTTAAATTATTGCTCATTATGAAAAAATTGATATTTGATTTTAATATTATTTGTAAATTAGTTAATACGTATTTGTAATAATAAAATGTAAGATGTTTAAATGGAAATTTGGCAATTATTAATTAAAATTAGTGAAGATAAGAGCATTAAGCTTCCCCTATTGTATCAAACAATCCACAAAATGCATCTGGTTTTTTTCAATTAAAAACAAGTTTTATTGTCAAAAGATTTAAAAAAAAAACTTATCCTCCAATGGCTTGGTCAGGAAGCTCCCTCAAGATTTTTGTGGATATACTATCTGACCTGGCTGTGAACTAGAGAATGGATTTTACTTCATGGATATTGGTGGGAAAAAAACAAAAAAGATTCATTGACATGCAAGTTTCCAATATAACCTAATGGATCAACTTCCAAGTTGATGGCTGCATTAAGGTTATCAGCGACAGTGCAATAAAAGCTGTTCAAGTTTCCAGGATCAATGTAAATTTCTTTGGTCTAAGTTTATTTCTACCAGTAATCTTTCTCACAATGTTCTAAATTTTCTTAGATTTATTGACAGCATTGCTGAAAGGATTTGAGTAGAATAAGTGTTTAGCAGTACGGAGAGATTTCCTATAAATTTTTCTATATTTCAGATAATAGTTCCAGATAAAAGGACTATCAACAGTGTTTCCTTATGAGATCCTAAATTAGCTGCATGAATCTTTAAGCCCTTTGTCGTCCAATATTTCCATGGCCTAGTTGTAGAGTTAAGCTAAAATAGTGGTTACGATATGGATTATCATTTGAGGAAAAAACTGTAAAGTGCAGCAATGGTAAAAAAACCTCTATTTATATTGATAAAAAGTAGAAAAACAAAATGCAAAATATTAAAAATAAATCAAGAACAAAGTAAGGGAAACTAGTATAGAATAGATAATTAATTATTTATAAAGTAGCCAAACCAATGAACATTTCTGTAATTTGTAATAGTTAAAAGAAATGCCCATGTATTTTGGAAATCTTAATCAAAATCATATTAAATAATATAACTTCTTTTAAAATGTTACATTGATGTTGATCTTTTAGAACAAATACTACCTACCTTCATAAACAATAACTCAGTATACTACACACACATTAAAATAATAATAATAATAATAATAATAATAATAATAATCTATAACAAAGGTACAAAATAAAACTGAATACAATACACAATCATTGACAAAAGACAAATCATTCTGTTCAAATCAAGGCCTTGTTCTTTGTAAAACTTATGTCTTCGGAATTGTCTGCCTGTTTGAGCGATTGATAAAGAGTCACTCCTGGCGAGTTCTTATAAGTTGAAGTTGATAATCGTGTACTTCGCCTTACTGGAATAGCCATAAATTTTTTCTGCGGTGTTTCTGTGACCTGGTTTTTCCTAAAAAGAATCCACTTTATTAAATAATGAAACATTGTTTTATTAAGGGTGAACGCGATACTTTTGTGAAAATCTTCTGAGCATAGCAGACAAGATGTTTATCAATGAGTAAATTTATGAAAAAAAAAAGTGAAACAGCATTAATCGGAATCTTTGTATAATAAGTTTGAAGACCAAGGTGCTTGGAGTATTTGAAGGGTGAGATGACAATTTTTTACTTTCATTCAAACATTATTATTGTAACTTACTTTGCTTCCCGTTCTTTGATCGCAAACATTATAATCCTTGATTTAAATACATTTTTCGCATTGACTCTTTGCTCAACCTCATCCTTTGTTTTGTGTATAATTTTACTTGGGCTGATATTAAGCACACTAAATTTTTGCAATAACAGATCGATGGATTTTTCCACAGATATGATATCAGCTCCTTGAATGATTGCAGTACTGAAATGTTCCACAGCTTTGACGATATTTCCTTCAGCTTGGTCAATCCATGCTCGTAGTTCCCAATATTCAGGTGTGTCGAGGAAATTTTTATATTTTTCTGTTATCAAATCTAATAATTCTAGAGATTCGCTTGCTGGATAGCCCTAAAATGCAACAATAATTATTAGAATGTAATAATGTTATTTTCCGAAATTTTAGGAACTTTTTGCATATTTAAATGATTAAGTAAGACCTTACCTGTTCCACTAATCTTCTTAGAACAAGAATAGCTTCTTTGGCAATTTTAAATTTATCTTCTTCAGGTGTAGCGTTTATTTTTAAATTTTCATAACTTTCAGTTCTACAATCGACAGCTTCAACATTTTCTTTGTTTTGTTCTTCAACTTCATCGATCACCGCATTAGAAACACGATTCCTACAAGACTCGATGAATTTGCTGCAACAAGAAAAAATATAAATAATTGAAATGTGACCATTTGCATTCTAATTTGTTCAATAGTGAAATTGGCTTTGATAAAGCAACGCGTGCCAGCCGCATCAAAACAATTTTATTTTTTTAGATTAACCTTCTTTACTTGAACTATTAGGTACCAAATCAAAATTCTCGGTGCTGCAGATTTGCGTCCAATAAATATGCTTAGTGCAATTATTGAAAAAATTTTGGAACGAATTGTATATAAGCAACCAATTCATTTTGTTGAAAGTAATAACTTGCTTGCGCAGATCCAAACAGGGTTTCGTAAAGGGAACAACTGTAAAATTGCGAGTCAATGTGTGTTGGATGAGTGGATTAACATGCTAACTATGTTATTTCAAAATAAGTTTCATAGTAAGTTATTTGTCGAGATGCTCTGGATATCTGTCAATGTGGGCCAAATTGGTAATGTATAACACTCTAATACTGCCTCATTTTGATTACTGTTCTACAATCCTATATCTTTTATAGCAAAATCAAGTAGCTAGGTTGCAGAGGCTGCAGAATAGAGCAATGAGACTTATTCTTTCTTGCAGTAAGTACACTGCGATAAAGGCCATGTTGGAGTGCCTGCAGTGGCTCTCTTTAAAAAACTTGTCAAAATTCAATATGTTAGTTTTTATTTTCAAAATCAGGAAGGATCAAACACTACGCCCTACCTTGCCAGTAAGATAGTTTACAATCATGAGATACTTACATGCATACAATACTAGGCAAAGGAATGATTCTTATGTAACCGCAAGGAATAAATCGTTTGGACAGAACTAGTGATGTGAACAAGGGAACGTTCTGATTGTGCTTTCGAGAACATTCGCGAACGTTCGCGCACGAAAAAAAGGTTCGTGCTGAATATTACCTTCGGAGCACAATGAGCACGATAGAGAATATTCAGCACGTTCTCAAGCACGTTCCTAACCAATAAAACATGACGCCATAAAGTAGAGATATATTTATGGAAGCTGTTGAAGGCGAAGATATATCGAATATTGAGCCCGAGAACCCGGGAGCAACTTAGCAGCAATAGTTATTTTTTTTTGGAGGCAAAGGTAGCGTTGTACTGGAATATACTTAAACTAAAATCACTATTTTATTTTATTATCAAAAAAAAAAAGAATCCTAATGATAATTGTATGTTGAAGTTTCACAGAAAACCCCAAATTAGAATAATTATTGTTATCAAACATGACACAAGACACAATTCACAAATTATGTGATTAATTATGTATTAAGTAGGTATATGAGGCTAGAAACATCATGGACGAAAAACAAATGAAAGCCCTGCTCGAAAAAACGTTCAAAAACCACTTTGAACCTTTCAAAAATACTATGCAGAAAGAAATAAGTGAAATAAAAAAATCCATGCAGTTTTTATCAGATAGTTTTGAAGAACAAAAAAAACAGATCCAAACAACAGTTGAAGAAATCAAGCACCTTAAGAAGGAAAATAACGAACTGAAGGAAAAGGTGGACTCAATGGAAGAAAGGATCAATGAAATTGAACAGAGAGAAAAGGAGAAAAATATCGTTATATCTGGTATACCCAAGCAAGAAGAACTGGTGAGCGAAACAATGAAAAAGGTCTTTAAAGCTCTAAAAGTGCCTATACATGAAGGTGATGCCCAGGAAATTTTCCGACTAAACAAAAACGAAGGCGCGCCCATATTACTAAAACTCAGAAGCACAACAATAAAACACGAATTGATGTCAAAAATAAGGCAACTGAGGGACTTAAGCTGAACGAATGTGGCTTGACCGGAGGTCCAAAGAACATATATTTTAATGAGGACTTAACACGTCAGAATCAGATGCTTTTTAAAAGGGTAAGGGACACAAAAAAGGAAAAGAATTATTACAAAGCGTATGTCTTAAATGGAAAAGTATTTCTCAAAAAAAATGAAAATGACAGACCAGTAAGGATTAAAAATGAGAACGATATAGAGCAGTTATAAATAAAAGATATGTAAATACAATGTAAATAATAAAAAATATTTATTCATTTAAAATGGAGACTGAAAACCTGACTGAAAAAATGGAGCAAAAACTAAATGTTCTATATATCAATATAAGAAGCGTTAGAAATAAACTAAATGATATTAATGATGTTATACTAGCACACAAAAAAATTATACATTTGATAGTCCTAACAGAAACTTGGATCTACCCAAACGAGAAAGACTGTTTTAAATTAAATAATTACACTGCACTACATGATTGCAGAGATACACGTGGTGGGGGATGTAGTATCTACATACGTGAAGATCTACATTATGTCCAAAGCAACAAGCATAAAATACAAATTGAAGATTGCAATATCGTATTTCTCTACCTACCAAAACAAAAGCTCTCCGTAATAGCTATATATAGACCCCCACATAGCAACTGTGAATTTTTCTCAAACAAACTTGACACAATACTGGAACAACAAAAAAATGAGTGCATAATAATAGGAGACATGAACTTAGATTTATTGAAGCAATCACAAACTATCAATAACTACCAAAACATTATACAAATGAATGGATTTAAGTTCCAGAATGAAGTGCTGCAACTAGGGTGACTAGCAATACAGCATCTATCCTGGACCATATAATAACAAATCAAAATTTAGCCTGCACTATTAAACTACAGGACAGTGACCTATCGGACCACAAAGTTATGTACATAGAAATTAAAAAAGCAATATATTTAAAGAAAAAAGAAAAAGTAAAACGAAGTTTTTTAATGGAAAATAAATGGATTTAGCCATTTGCAGGAAAAAATAGAACAACATCAAATAACAACTTTTCAACAACTAGCTGAAATCATAAATACCTCAAAAAATGAATGCACGAAAGAATACAGTATAAAAATAAAACAAAACAATTATTGGATAACAAACAATTACCTATCTAAGCTCAAGGAGAAGGACGCACTGTATGTTAGGTGGAAACGAATTAAAAATGAATATTGTGAAACGGAGTTTAAAAAAGCCAAAAACCAACTAAACAACCTTAGAAAAAAACTGCAGAAACAGTATGCAGAAAGACGGTTTAATGAAGCAACGGGCAACGCAAAGAAGACCTGGGCAGTACTAAATGAAATATGTAATACCAATAAAAATAATAAAAAAAAAATACATCAAATAATCAACTCTAGTGGAAAGTTAGTTAAAAATAACAAAGAAATGGCTCAAGAATTCAATACGCATTTTTCCAAAATAGGAGATACTTTAGCAGACAAAATAAAACAAAATTCAAAAACTCTTTTCAACGAGGAGGAAGTTGAGGAAAGCATAATTCTTGAACCAACAACCCTTACAGAAATGAAAGAAACGATCAATACCTTAAAAAACAACTGTGCTCCAGGCATGGATGGTGTATTGAAAAAATATTTGCAAACTCTATATTACATTATTGGAACAAAAATGGTAGAACTTGTTAATAACGTCCTGCAAACTGGAATTTACCCTGAAGAACTCAAAATTGCTAAAATCATCCCAATATTCAAAAAAGGCGAGCACGATAACATAAATAACTATAGGCCAATTTCACTACTCAGTACTTTTTCCAAAGTGTTAGAAAAAATTATCAAGACCCGATTAATAAATTTCATTGAAACAAATTTTAAGTTTGATAAACAGCAATATGGGTTTCAATGTAAAAGTAGCACACAAGGAGCAGCAGTGGATATGTTGGAATATGTTTCCAGTGAGTTGGACAAAAGCAAATATGTCATAACTGTGTTTGTCGACCTTCAAAAAGCCTTCGACACGGTTAATATAGAGTTAATGATGAGCAAACTATATAAAAAGGGTTTCCGTGGACCATGCTATAACCTGCTAAAATCTTACTCTACTGGAAGAAAGCACTTTACAACAATAAATAGTGAGAGTAGTGAACAACTTAACTTGAATGTAGGAGTTGCCCAAGGGTCAGTGCTGGGGCCAATACTTCATTTACTGTATGTACATAGTTTGAAATATGCAAACTTAAAAGCAACCTACTTTAAATTTGCAGACGACACTGTATTGGTCTACTCAGGTGACAGTGCAATACAACTTGACGAACTTGTAAATAGTGACTTAAAGCAATATTTTAGTTGGCTGTGCTATAATAGACTTTCGTCGAACGCGCAACAAACAGTATATATGGTTAGTAAACAAACAGGAAAACCACCCCTAAACCCACAAATAAACATAAACATAAATGAAGTACCTTTGAAAAGAGTGTGTGAATATAAGTACCTTGGCTTGCTCATTTCTGAAAAACTAACATGGGATTGAAACTGTGACTGGAAAAATAGTGCCAATGATAGGTGTAATTAAAAGATGTTCACATCAACTAAACCAAAAAACAAAACAGCTGCTCTATAATAGTTTTGTAGAGCCACATTTTAGGTATTTGATAACGTGTTGGGGAAATACAAGTATTGCACAAATAAATAGGCTCCAGAGACTTCAAAATAAGGCTCTTAAAACAATATTTGGAATGAACTTTTATGTCCCTAGTGAAGAAATTTACAAAAGTCTGCCTTGCCTAAAAATATGTGAGCTTAAAATACTAGAACAAACAAAACTTATTTATGCTATACAAAATAAATTGCTTAAAACAAATGTAGAACTGAATGAAAATAGACAATATTACAACTACAATACCAGAAATAACCAAAGACTAAGAAATACCTATGCCAGAACAAAGAAAAAACAAGACTCTCCAATCTATAGATGCGTACAGGCCTATAACAAAATACCAAAGACTGTACTGAAGGGTGTGATTAAAGAAATGTGTCATAACCTTAAAGAATACCTAAGAGCAAACAGATTATAAAACTAATATATTTTTTGAGTGCTTAGTTAAATGTTATATTTTACTTCTGTTATGTTATATTATTGATATTAAGGCCTCGGTGCCAGTTTATTCTAAACTGTTTTGAGGTCTGAAATAAATAAATAAATAAAAAAATAAAAAAAAAAAAAAAAAATATTTTCTTAAGAAGTTTGAGAACTTTCAGCACATTATCAAGAATTTTCAGAATATTCAGAACTTTCACGAGAAATTTGGGAATTTCGGGAAATTTGAGAAAAATCAGAATTTATTTAGAAAAATGTTTTGTTTTATTCAGCTTCTGATAAAAAGCATAAATTCTCGGGTCCTGCTCGTTTTTGCTCGTTTATTCTCGTTAATTCTCGATCGTGCTCGGAGAACGTTCTCCTAAAATACTTGCTCGAGCATTTTACATCACTAGACAGAACAGCATTTTTCACAATGGTTTAGACTGTTTGAATCGGTTGCCTCAGGAGGTTCAGGAGTTAGCGACTTTGCCAATATTTAAAAGACTGTTGAGGGGTTATTTGCTGAGAATGTGAAGGTCATTGGTGCCCCACGATGTGTTGTATTGTATTTTGAATGTATTTTGATTTTGTTTTTGCTGTATTTTATAACTGCGGTATTTTATTCTTGCTATATTTTAACATTTATTTTTTTTGTGTATTTCAAGCTATCTTCCTCAATGCTTAATGTTTTATAGATTTGACTGCATAGGTACCAACTAGTGACTTGTTGTATAGTATTTTTAAAAAAGCTTGGTTTGCAACTTGGGCTTATTATACAGTGTGCCTGGTAGATTATTATCTAGGCTAACAACAAAAAAACACAAATAATCGAGGTATACTTACTTTAAATTGTGAAATTCTGCTGGTGTTTTGCCCCTTGATCGGAGCCATTTATTCAGCCTGTCCTGTAACTGCAGCATTTCATCAGGTCTCGGTGAGGAAGCGATAAGAAAATTATTAAATTTTCTATTTGATAATGGAGTGTGATGATAAATACTCCTGCGCCTATATGCTGATGGAGTTTTGAAAAGTAGCCTTTTATTGTCTGCTTCCTCTCTGCTTATAGGTGAGAGTCCCTTCAATTCTTTTGGAGTTGGCATATAGATATTTTCAACAGATTGACTTTCATTTAATTTAGGTTTGCAATTTTTTGTTTGAATATTATCAGAAGACATGGATTTTCTATGAGGAAACATGGGTGGTCGTTTCAAAATTTTCTGTTGTTGTTTGAATTCAGGCTTTGGCTTTGATATTGGAGGTAATTGTGGTTTCCATTGTTGCCTTTTATATTCGATCCCTGGTTTTGGGGCCACAGTAGATTTTCTATTAAAATCTGTACCTGTTTTCCTTTGTAGGGGTTGTTTAAAATTAGAACTTAATTGAGGCTGATTGGAATATTTGGGCCTTGTTTCTTTAACTGATTGTGTTCGCCTTAAAGCAGTAGTGCCTGGTAATTCTTTCGGCTTACTGCAAGAAGGTGCTGCTGATACTGATGAACTTTGGGTTTGTTTTGAACTCGGTTTTGAAATTGTGCCTGTAGGTTGTTTAGTAGATGCCAAACTTGATTTCGAAGCAGTAAATGTTGCTAATGGATTTAGAGCATTTTGAATTCTTTTTGCGCTTGTAAGCGTTTGTCTGACTACAGGTGGTGCATGTTTTGTCCTGATTGATGGTTTTCTTTCTAATTTTGGTTCTTCTTTAACTAATTTTGGTTTCTTTGGATCCATGTTTATGACTGTGTTAATTATGATTAATTTAATATTTGACAGATTTTTTAATCTACTACTTTACCTGCAGTGGAAAACTCGGCAAATGGCAGTAGACGTGTATTTCACACAAAAACTACTATTTTTGGGGGCAGGAGTCGCAGGAGAATGCAAGATAAAATATAAAAAATGTTCTTTTTTCTTGTTTATAAGAACGTTGCAATGACGGTTAACGAATATTTTTGATTTTTGAATGAGTTAAAAAATCAATTAGTTTGAAATATGTCATTCATTTTTCTCACTATTCATTTTTGGTCTCTCACTCTTTAGTTCGTTATAAAAAAAGACAAAAACAGTATGCTTGCAAAAATTACCCTTGTGATTTTTGACAGCGGTTCAATCTAGAGAAGAAATCTCTAATCACGCAAAAGTCATGGCTTGGCTAGGCTAGCGGTTCTCTACGGTTCCACTGCCCCATTTTTCTTCTCTTCTTTGTCATATTTCTGATGTAAAACAAGGATGTAGAATGCATTAGACTCGAAGCTCCAGTACCATTATCACAGCCGAGTTGAAGAAATCCTTTCGTTGCTGTTGTTTGCCGTTTGAATTTCAATTAAAGCACTTTACCACATTGGGCGGTGGTCTAGGACTCGAGCTCACAAAATTCAAGGAAGAAGAAGAATTAAAGCACTTGCTCCAGTTGCTCCAAAGATGTCGCCACTATAGACGAGCAAAATAAAACATCATGGAACGACATGGTACAAATGAGGTCAATCGTGTTGCCAAGTTCACTTTTATTTCCAAATACATGAGGATTTGAAATTAGCTTGAGAAAATAATATTCAGCCACGAGTTATGATTAGATTTATGTTCACCTTGTTCCAATTGACTTTGGAAAAACTTTACATCCAAAGACCACATCTCCTCTTTTTTTTTTTAATTTTTCACTTCGATTTGACAACTCCCAGACAGTACCTACACAAAAAGGATTTTTTCTACGAGCGTGCGGAAAAGTGCACTTTTCCGCACGCATTTTAGTTTAGAAAGTTTCACACACAAAAAAGTTTTTTCCGCACTAGTGGAAAAGTGCGGAAAAGTGACAGATGTCATTTTTTGAATTATGAGCTGACACACTTACAGAAATATCAACATTGAGAATTATTGACACAGTCAACTTTATTTATTAAATTATTTTGGTTTAAACTCAATTTTTCTTGTGAAGTTACTATAGAATGGTTACTTAATGCTCAAAAATTTCGAAAATTTCATAGTAGATACATCAAACGTATAAATTATTGTTAAAAGTTCTCGATTTTATTGTCTTCAGAATAAGGCACATTATTTCAGAATTAGTTTTTTTTATTAATAAATAAATGAGTTTTATTTTTAAGAGTACCTAATTTATATTAAGAAAAAATTACTGGATTTGTTTTTAATACCAGGTGTTGCAGAAGAAATATGATCAAATATTGGTGTTAAAATTTACATTACGTAGGTACGTTCCTTCTATCTCGTAGAAAAAATAGTGTTCCTAACTCGTGCGGAAAGTCTCCTTTCCTCACTAGTTAGAAAATATACTATTTCCTACTCGCGTGCGGTAAATTATACTTTACCGCACTCATTTGCGTGTCGCAGGGAGTACTTTACCGCACCCAGTGCTGTAAAAATTCTTTACCGCACTCAGTGCTGTAAATAGTTATTTTCCTAACAAGTGCGGAAAGTGATATTTTCCCGCACGCGACTGCCGTTGACCCGAACGACGCGAAGCGGAGTTCGGGCAAGCAGTCGAGTGCGGGAAAGACACTTTCCGCATGAGTGAGGAACATTATTTTTTCTACGAGCGCGTTCAAATATAAAGTATATAAATTCAAAGCGATATATTATTAAAGAAATCGTTTAATTACAAAATTACTTATTTTTATATTTTTACGTTTACTTTCAAGAATGATTGAAAAAAATTATGTACTAAAGGCGATTTTCAGCCTGGAATGATTATTTATCGGTAAATACCGTGGTTATTCTTTTGGTTGACAACTTTGACAGCCAAGTGTGAAGTCACAGCCCCCCACCACTCAAGAATCTTAACCCAAGGAACTGACCGCTGAAATGATTTGGTTATAGCAGTGTAGGATTAGTTTATTATTCCTATTTGTTTTTTCGTTTCAACAATGGTTTGTTGTTTAGGTACAAAAAATGGAGCGGAATCTCTCGATAGTCTCGTTCATCGAACAGATTTTCTTTGGGGATGATCTAAACCACGATCTAAGCATGGTGAGTTGCAGTGAGTGAGTGAGTGTATACTTCTCCCATTGTGCCAGGCCACAACACAACTGCAAAATCACAAAACACCAATACCAATTCCCAAAATAATAACAATCACATCAAAAAGCTGTAACCAAAAGATTAACCCAAGTCCAAAGCTGGGTTATAATCGGTTATAAGTGGTAAATACCAAAAGCAAATCAGCTGATATGTGACATCACAACTTCCCCTACTTTGGTTAAAACCGCGACGGCGGAAATGCATTGGTTATAACCAAATAATAATCATTCCAGGCTGAAAATCGCCTTTAAATCGATTTAATGTTACAATAAACAAAATTTCTAAGGTAAAAAAACTGCCCCGCCTCAAAGGAACCAAAAAGTCAAACAATGTCAAAGAAAATTATAAAATTTTTGAAATATTCACAAATTAGATTAATATGGATTAAAATAGGAATATTTCATATAGTTTATGAGCGCATAAATTAGTATATCTAGCAAAAATGTATGCAGACAAAATAGATAAAATGTTTGATAAATTAAAAGTGACACTTCTTCTGAACGCCACTTTCCTGCAAAATCGCGCACTAGTGCGGGAAAGTGACATTTTCGGAACTAAGATGCGTGCGGGAAAGTGATAAAAAATGCACGCTCGTAGAAAATAGTTATTTTCCTAACAAGTGCGGATAGTGATACTTTCCCGCACGTGACTGCCGTTGACCCGAACGACGCGAAGCGGAGTTCGGGCAAGCAGTCGAGTGCGGGAAAGACACTTTCCGCATGAGTTAGGAATATTATTTTTTCTACTGGCGTTTCATAATAAAAAACGCAATTTTATTTCAATGTTTGTCACCTGTTTTTGCTTGACACATTTCATAGTGGTGACTAATATTCATAATAAATACAAAACAAAATTCAAATCTGTATTTAGTGTGTTTTTTGTTTCTGAACAATGAATGACACTTTTAGGCACTAGTGCTTAAAAGTTACTTTTACGCACTTGAAAGTCACTTTTACGCACTTGAAAGTTACTTTTTCGCACTTGAAAGTCACTTTTACGCACTGAGTGCCTAAAAGTAACTTTTACGCACTGAGTGCTTAAAAAAATGTCGTTTCAAAACTAAAATGACAATCGAAAAGTTGCTATTATGAAACGTCAGTAGAAAAAAATCTTGTATACAATACGTTACGAAACGAAGCCTTTTAGTCACTCGACGTGTTGTCCAAATACTGTCCGACAGTCAAGCGGGTCTAAAGGTTCTAGACCTAATCAAGTGCAATTTTCAGCTAGTTTGGGAGGGTAAAAATATCCTTAAACACTTAACTTAGGAATAAAGTGAAGAGGCGAAGAGGACAACGAGGAGGCGGGCTGTCTCACAAAGCAAAGGCGCTTTAACACCTTATTCTCAAGGCCCAATAGCTTTCTGTGTACTAATGAAAAGCCACGTCTTCAAAGAAATCAACAGATGAAGAAGGTTCATATATCTGAGATCTGAACAGGTTCTTGACAATAAACAAAAGAGACATCCTGGTTGCTGCATGTTTACATAGGTTCAGAAAATTATATTAATTTTCCAAATATGTACCTATATATGTTAAATAGTCCAGGGAGCTGCAGCTGCCTTCCCTATAGCAGAGCATTTTCAATCTGAAAATAATAACTTTGTAACTTTCTTTGGTAGGTATTATAAGTTATTACGAAGGGATCTTTGCGAATGGCCACCTTTTACTTTACAGTCCCTTCTTCATAAAACCTTTGCTATACCTACCTGTGTAGGATAATATATGCCTATAGGGGCTTAAATTAAAAGACCGACGGATGGTCCCCTCTGTGAAACAAAAATGAAGGTCGATTCCGATAACATGGTATAAGGGTTGTAAAAAGTAAAATGCAAAATATTTTAGGTAGGTATACATTTTTCTAGATGAAATATTTTATTTTAATTTTCATATGGCGCGTGAATAGTGTTGTCGTTGTAGCTCCGTTAAAATTGGGAAAAAGAGTGACTTTAAATGCGAAATAATTGATTCCATTCCGATAAGGCAGTAAAGTGCGTTGGTCGGATAGTTTGTGCGTGTGCGGAGCATCGTAGCTTCCCGATTCCGCTGGCAATCTTGTAAAACAATAGTAAACTAAAAAGCTCTGCTCAGCTAGTCCCGCAGTGACGACATAGCCGCAATCATGGTTGGTGGTAGTGGTACCATCAGAACTCGGGCTGGGACTCTAAGTGAGTCCAGTGAAGACATGGAGAAGCTTATTTCCAAGGTATGTGCTAACTTTTCCAACCAGATTGAAGCCAAGCTAAACCAGCGTTTCGATAAAATTGACTCCAAACTAGCTGATATGTCTAAATGCTGGAAGTCCCTTCAAGCAGATGTTATTAACAACTCTAAAGAGATATCCGCGGTAAAATTGACCATTGATAGTAACAATCAATTGACCAAGCTAAACTCACTCAGATTCTATGGCTTGGAGGAAGCTGAAGACGAAGATACGATCGACGTCCTTGTTTCCTTTATTAAAGAGCGTCTCAATATTTCTTGTTCTAGAGGTGATGTAAGCTGTGCCTTCAGACTGGGCAAATCGGGCGGGGAAAAACCTAGAATTATAATGGCTAATTTCGTTTTGGTCTGGAAAAGGAACGAAATCTTCAGTGCTAAGAATATCCTAAAGAATACAGGCTGCTCTATCTTTGAGGACCTTACGAAGTCTAGGTACGACCTGCTTATTTCTGCGAAAAAAAAGTATGGAAAATCAAACGCCTGGTCTTCTGGAGGAAAATTATACTTTTGGAATCAGGAAGAAAACAAGAAGTGCTTATTGGACCTTAGCGATCCCAAATTGTACTAACATGTATACTTTCATTTGTTCAATTTTTAATTGCTTCACTGTTCAATGCTGTATTAATAATTATTATACCAATAATCTGGTGCATTTACTTAGGCATGAATTTATCATCATGGTAGGTATAGAATTATCACTTGATCAATATTTAGTTTTGCAAAGTGGATTCCTTTACTTTTGTTTTTTTTTTTTTGCTGTTTT